GCTGGTTCGGCTGGGACGAGTGCACGATCTGTGCCGAGTGTTATCACGAATTCATCCGCGGCACGGCACTTGCAGAGGCAATGCCGCACCAGGGCACACAAGTCGCAGGCGGCGTCATGTGTGAAATGTACAGTCAACGGATGCGACAACTGTATCTGGCGGCTTGCACCTCGAATCCACCGAACCCGAAACCGCTGCTCGAGTACAGCATGCAGCGACGTGCTGTGTGGACAGAGACGGTGCCGCGTGCAAGGCAGATCATGAGCGACATAGAATTGAAGATGTTGCAGCAAAGCATGGCACTGAACAACAGTATGTTCTACACGTGGTCTGGTGGCTTGATGCAAAATACCCTCCCGCTAGAGCAGACCTCTGGCAGTGCGGCTATAGGATATGGTCATTTCAACCATATGCAAATAAAGGGCGCCGAGTACGGTCGTCAGGCGACCACTATTGGGAATGATATACGCGGCGCACCGGCACATGTTGCAGACGAGTTGATGCGGCGGTGGAGGGCCGTTGAGTGAACAACTTTCGTGCCTAGGTACACTTGAGCCCTAGTGCCTTGCCTCAAGACAATGTAGCCTGGCTGTGTGTGAAGTATTTGAATAAGAAAGAAGATAGAAGACCGAGGGATTGGCCCAGCGTGTATCTACCTAGGGCTTCAAGCTATCACAGAGCAGATCATTCGAAATAATGTGAAGAGTCATGACTGCTCAATTAGTATCCGCTTATTGATATATACCTGGGTGTATATATATACACGTGTCCCCATATGAAACATGCCTCATAATCATCAGAGAAAGAAAGTCTGACTATTTCCGCTTCTTCTGCAAGGGATCTTCTCCGATGAGCTTCATGATCTCAGGCATGCGGAACTTGTTCCAGCACACTGCATCCATTACCCATTCGCCAAGACTGTGTCCATACCACGCCGAACGCGCCAAGCCGCCGTACCAAAACCAATCTGGTCGCCCGAAAATGCTTCGCAACCACACAGGTCTTTCCGGTCGAAGGGAGTCTGTGACCAGTTTTTTCGCAAATGTCGTCGTGTCCATCGTGTTATTGTTCTGGCTGAACACGAGGCGCCACTCAAAAATGTGCTTAACCCTCTGGTAAACGCTATTCTCAGGGAGGACGCGATGGCCTTGACTCGCCGTATTACTCTTCACTGTTCCGGTCATCGAAACCACTACAGCGCCTGGGTCAGTCGTTGCATTCAGAAGGACCTTTGGATGGGTGTTTTGGAAAGGTGGGAAGCTTTTGAAATTTTGTTCCTCGGCGTAAGGCGGCATCAATGCTCCCGACACTGAAACGTTGACTTTGAGGACCACTTACTAACGCGCACGCCGAGGGGGGCGAGCTCCAAGCGTAGCGTACGCGAATACGCGCTGACCGCGGCCTTGCTGGCACAGTACACGGAACCGAATAGATAGGGCGAGATGGAGGACAGCGAAGAGATATTGATGATTAAGCCCTTCGCGGCAGCCAGCTGGTCGATGAAAGCTTGAACCATGGCCATGATGGAGAATACATTCGTTTCGAACGTCGCACGAACGTCAGGGAGCGAGATGTCTAGAGCCGGGTGGGTGTGCGTTCGCCCCCTGTGGAACTTAGTTGAGCTTTCACATCACACAGACAGAGTGGGCGCGCCGCTGCTCTCTCGTAGTCATTGGGAGGGAGGGTTAGAATATGAAACGCTACTCACGCGTTGTTCACGAGGATGTCAAGCTTGCCACCATTGATTTGAGCGACCTCGTCATGGCATTTCTTGATGCTCTCGGCGTCGGTGACGTCCAGCGCCACGACGCTCATTCCCAGCTCCGCCAACTCCGCAATGACTTCTGGCCGACGTGCGGTGGCGATAACATGGAGTCCTAGTCACACCCAGTCAGCTAAACAACTCTTGACTGAGAACGAATCAATCTGAGATGACTGGGTATAATTACCTTGCCTATGGTATTCAAGGCATATGCTGTGGCCAATGCCTCCCGGCGTACAGCTATAGTTGATAGTCTCGTTAGCGGCGCTTAGGAAGATATGCCAGGTAGGTTACGTGGGGTATGTTGGGTGTGGTGTAATGTGTAATGCGTAATGTGTGTCGAAGATAGCTAAAGTCACCATACCCAGTCACCAACACCGTCTTCTGGCCTGGCTTAGGCCCCGTCATCATGTATGTGTACGCGCACACGCACTCGAGAATATTCGGGTTGGTTGTCTCAGAAAAGGGCGTACGAGTTGAATTGGGAAGATCGATTGAAACAGCCCCGCCCACTAAGTATTTAAGTCAACTGGGTAGCACTGTTTTAGCGAATGCGACACCGAGGTGACATACGGTCACATAACAAGGCGCAGTAAGCCAGAGCTTTAAAACCACTTGTCGCTACCATTCTTTCGGTCCACTATCACTTAGAAAATTACATTATATTAATGCCAAATCTACGCCTTTTTTTTTTTTTTTTTTTTTTTTTTTTTTTTTTTTTTTGAAAATTCCATATAACTATGCCAAATTGCTACTAAGTAACTATAAATAAGCGGCAGAGTTTAGAGCATTAGCTGGTTAGCTAGCTAATATTATAGCATTCACTTCTCTGCCAACGATGAGTGTCATGCAGACGGGAAGAGGCACCCGTATTGTGACATATCTTTTCCGCCAATCGAGCTAGCATCATGAAGCCATTAATTACATGAATTAGGACGTGAAGTTTCTAAGCGTGTAGTTACGGCTGCCTCATGTGGCTACTGAGAACTGTCTAGACACCAACTTAAAACTTAGAAAAAAATTAAATGGAAAAGAACTGGTTGCTAGATCTTATCAGTTAGAGCGGTCTAACTATACTTCAGAGAACGTCTGTTTCTAACTTTAGTTGCTAGAAAAATGGCGCATGGCACAAGGGTGCGAATGTAGTGCGTACTCCATAGGTTAACGAGGTCAAGGTCGAGGTCGAGGTCCTCAACATGAGCAGAACCAAAGAAGACTAGAGTCACATGTCATGTTGAGCACTTATGCCCTCCCTTTCCAGAGGTCACATTCTCAAAATTCATCGAATATGTGCGCCTTTGATAACGACAGAAGTCAAGTTTTCACTAGGTTATCGAAATTCGTAAGACATCCTTTTCGATACCATCGGGTCCTTGTTCCTTGACTCTGGACTTGTGAAGTATTGGTTTATCAGGGATAATGCCATGACGCATCATCTTCTATCATAATTGTTCCCAATAATTGTAGTGATACCTACGTTCGTGCCCAAGGGATGATTTGATAGGATTTGTTATGGATTGCATCTTTCAGGTACTCATATGAAGCCAAGGGATAGTCATAGTTGATTTCTTGTATTATAAGCACATCATACAAGTGATACCTAGACTCTTAGCTGCTTAGGACTGCCTTGAATTGTGTACCATTCGGCGACTGACATTGTGATACTTATGACGTGATGCTACTCTTGAATAACTTTTGACGAAGGCGCCGCAGTATATATATGGCTATGTACCCCAAACACCAACCTGCTCTGATGTTCTCCTCTTGTTCTTTGACTAGCTTCAAGAACTTCAGAACTTCGCCATCACCTATCCACTAATGGGTCACAGCTCGCAAAAGACGTATATCTTGGTTGAGACGCACCATGGCCATGGTCGCCACGGGAGCTCAAAGCACTCAAAACATTCATCTCATAGTCGGAGCCATGGACATTCAAGGCACCGCAGTCATCACGACTCTCACGTAAGATCAGATCTGTCTTCCTTGAAACGAGCGTTGGGGGACTACATACACTAATACCTCATCCTTTTTAACAACAATAGGCCGGGTCCTCATCATCACAAACCGCCGTGGGTGATAATTATACTCAAATTGGCGAGGCGTATGATGTAAGTCTAATGCATTCATCAACTAGGTAAATAGGTATGTATAGAACGGTGAACGAGCCCTAATCCCATATCAAGAAGAAGAAGAGGAGGAGGAGGAGGAGAGCTGGAAGCAGCAAAAGCATTACCTGGAAGATCGCTTTGACCCAAGCCGTTCATATGAGCCTGCTCCACGTCGTCCAGATCGTCCCGTGTCTATGAACAGATTGAGGAACTGGCTTGAGGATCATAGCGACCTCCCCGCACCTGGCAAAGCTACGGGTGTTGCCAGGAGACTCTTCAAAGACCTGTCTGAGTTTATCTACAAGTTTGAGATGTGCTATGGCATGTCAAGAGAAGATCCAAGCATGGCACAATTAGACCATAAAGGGCAACTATTGATCGAGACGTTCAATTCCATTATGATCAGATACGATAACAGTATAATCAGGCATCCTAGCTCCAGCTCTTCCACTCGGAACAACGAGGCCCGAGATCTTTTTGGCCAGATGTTTGATCATAACTACGACACATGGGATTCTTTTGTCGCTCGAATATTCACCTGGCTCAATGAGTATAGGGCTTATCGCAGGGGAGCTTCAAGACGCTAGAGCAAGAGCAGGGAAATCCTCGACAGCTAAAGATACTATACACCGAGGTATTAAGTCCAGAAAATGTAATGTTCGCTCGGAAAGAGGTAAGTAACGGGCTTCTAGGCAAGACGGAACAAACGGGTCGTTCTAGCTATCTAGTCACACTCTCGTTAATACTCCAAATTGTAACACTCGTATCCTCAGTTTACTCTTCGTTTACCTTTATGTAGATTCTTTGCTTTCCTTGGTGCTAGTCTGGCCTCTCATAGTAAAGTAAGAAACAGGGGCCGAGTGGAAATCTGGATAAGATTATACCATTTTTTACCCATATTCCTTCAGGAACAGGATAAGTTCCATCTTCCTCAACACTCGCTAGCTCACGCCATGGAGGGGCAGTGGATCGCACTACCGATTATATTATTCAGAAACCTTCGCCCCGCACTTTTACACGCACAAATCTCGAAGCAGATATCCCACTCTCAACCCTAATTGCTGTCTATCTTACTCACATCCGTTACTACGCGGTATAGCCCTCTTCAACGGCGCACAGTAAAGCCTGATGGTGAGATGGCCGAGTGGTTATGGCGCTGCGTTCAGGCGAACCCTGGATCTTTAGATATTGAGGAGCTATTCTCATTATCTTCACAAAAACAATATCGCAGTGGAGCAATCCGCGTGGGTTCGAGTCCCACTCTCATCAGTAATAAGATATTCTACCTAGGTAGTGTAACCTCGTAGAGAACCCAATTTTTTTTCTACTTTGTTTCTTTTCTCCTTCCAACTTTCCTCTTATGTCCTGCGGTGAACCTAGTTAACTGGATCACCTGTTCGGATGTTGCCATGACTAATGGATATAGAAGTAGCACATAGCTAGACAGAGCACTGATAGATGGCCATGTTCGCAAGGGACTACAAGTTATCAACGACAGTCTTTCGTAGAAATCTGAAAACATCCGTTGCTATATACAAATCTGCATACTTTCCATTGTCCCAAGCATTACAGATGATAGAACCATTCTGCCGTAAAGGCATTGATAGTTATATAACTTCCCTATCCAACGAGTTGATCGCGGCAGATGACCATCTCTAGAGACATCATGGTCTTCTCACGTCAGCTTGAGTCAATACTCAAGCCTGTTGCTGCCTATTCTTCCAGCCTTCCTGTCCTTTGACCATGGAGAAAACCGTCTCCTCGACAGGAATGGGTTTCAGCGCAAGGCGACCCAGCAACTTTTCCAGCATGGGATCATCAACAAGACACTCTCCGTCTTCAAGCGCTTCGTATGTGCTAGCCCACCACTCGACAGCAGGTCTCGGCATCCCCCTTTCCTCGACATAATACTTCTCATGTTCCTGCCGCCCAACAATCTTGACCTGGACAGCCTTTCCTCTCGCCTCCCCAACAAGCTTCGCGATTTCCCCAACCGTCTTGGCCGTCTCAGGGCGTGTAGACAGGTAGAAAGTCTTCCCCACGAACTCGTTCTCGTCGGCCTTACGTTGCGAGCCGCCCGACGAAAGCACCAGCGCACTAGCAACGCCAAGATCATGAATAGCAGTCCAAGAAATCTTCCCGTCGCCACCCAAAGGCACGGCGTCTCTCTCGCCCTGCGCATTCCCGGCATCGAAATAGCCAAGGTATAGCGGCCACGACTCATTATACAGCCCCTCGCGCAAGATCGTGACATGGACTCCGTGCGCCGCGCTAATCGAGCGAAGATACGCCTCGGTGCGCAGATGCGCGCGCATCACGCCCGCCTTACTAGCTCCTTTATCTCCGCGGGGCGAAAACCCAAAGGCCAAACTCGAATACACAATCCATTTAACCCCAGCCTTCACCGCACCGTCAATAGCGTTCTTATGATGACTCTCGCGGCCCCGGTTCGCCTCCGCTGTCGCCGCAGTGCCGTCGTAGTCCATCGCAACGCCGAAGTCGAGCGCGATGTTGGGCGTGGAGACGAGGAAGAGCCTCTCGACGCCTTGCAGGGCTTGCTCGAAGGTCGCGGCGTCTTCGAAGCGCGCGTGGCGCACCTGCACGCCCGTCGTCGCGAGCTTGGCCCATGTCTGCGACTCCGGCGTCGACGATGTCAGGGCGATGACGTCGGTCGGGGGCGCGAGCTTGTGCGTTAGGAGTGCGGAGAGCGTGGCCCCGCCCAGCTTGCCCGATGCGCCAATGATGGCTATCTTCGCCATGGTTTATTATAAACCTTCGCGAGTTGGATGGGGTAAGGTGTGCTGATTTATACTGGATGAATAAGTTGCTGAGAAGGGTATTGGCTGTAAGTAATCGTTGTTAAGTGCAGATAAAAAGCAATTGACCTGGTTCTACGGCTCGTCACGAAGCGGCACGATTGCCGATATATAGTACGTTCCATTTATTCTTTTTGAGTAGCATCTAGCAAGTTCGATTTCTGTCAGTCAACAACATTCATGGCTTTCAATTTGAGTGACGTTAGGTCATGGTCATCGCTTCATTAATAATCTCACATGGAACGCGACTTCCTTAACCGGTTTTGGAAGTAAACTGCGACCGATGCATGATGGGGCCTTGAATTGACTACGTAGTAGAGGCCTTCTACTATTGCGGGTCGATTTTTCAGTTACGCATGAAATAACGCACGGCAGTTAGGAAAAATTGAAGACAATGGTACTCTAACGTGGTGATGCGACACAGCGCTCGGCGATAAGGCCAAAGTCAAGTGAGATACACCAATATCGCCGATACCTTAAGGGGAAACTATGGCCTTGGCACCACCCTTTTCCATAATAGATACCTAGCTCTTCACATCAGAATTCTTCCCACTATAGCAGCAATGAAAGGCGCAATAAGAAGTCACGAGATTTCTTTATGATACAGTTTAACCATGGCTCCAAATAACTAGACTATTTGAGACTTGTGAACCCAGACCTAAACCCACTCCTAAGGTATGCCGAACCGCTATATCGCGATGAAGAAGCTCTTCTCGCCTTCCATAGGGAGAACTCGCGCCCGCTCCATGATAGGATCAACGCATGCCAAGCGAATCCTCTCGGGCGTAGCAGGACTCTCGAGTCTCAGTAAGCCATCATCTTCACCACCCTCGGCACCTAATTTGGCTTTCACCCCGTAGTCTGCGCGTGCCGATTTCAGAGCATTCCGGATCGCGAAGAATACGGCGCTCCCCATGAACAGGGGAGGTTCGCCGACACCTCTGCTCCGCTGGATTGTGCGGAGATTCTCCCATGTCACGCCCTTGAGGAGACTGACATTGAAGACCTGTGGTATATCGCGGAAGCCTGGGATCTTATATGCACCTGGACCCTTGGTAAACAAGTTCCCTGCCAGAGGGCCGTTACGGAGCCAGAGACTCTCCTCCATCGTGAAGAGCCCCATGCCTTGAACAAAAGCTCCCTCTATCTGGCCGTAGTCAATTGACGGGTTAATTGAACGGCCAACGTCCATCTTAATGTCAGCTCTCAAGCATGTCCAGGTTCCAGTGAGGCAGTCGACCTCAACTTCAGCGGCTGTGACACCCTGAGTGAAATAGAAGAACATTTGGCCGGTATTCTCACCCCATTTATATCCAATTTCTGGGGTTTTATAGAAGCCATTGGCACTCAGGTTCACACGGTCCAAATAGGCAGCATGGGCCAGTTCCTTCATACTCGCGTTCGGCCCAAGTTTTTCTCTGTATGGAGCTAATCGAGCGTTAATTTGTTCACAGGCGTTCCACAGCGCATATCCGTTCAAGTCAGATGATGCCGAAGCTGCTGTAGCCGATGTGTTTGCTACGGTGTTCGTAGAAGTCTCTGATATGAACACACTCTCCATAGGAACTTTCAGGGCCTCGGCAGCCAGAGTAATCATCTTGGTATGTAGTCCTTGACCCATCTCGGTCCCTCCGTGCGCGACAAGAACTGATCCATCGTGATAGATATGGACTAGCGCACCAGCTTGGTTGAACCAGACCGATGTAAAGGAAATGCCAAATTTCGTCGGGATAATGGCGAGGCCACGCTTACGCCATTTATGGTTTTCGTTAAACTTCTCAACAGCCTTCCGTCGATTGACAAAGTCCGATTCTTCTTTTACTTGCTGGTACATTAGTGGAACATGCCAGTCTGTTATGGCCTGGTTGAAATGCGTCTGATCACCAGGCTGGTAAAGATTCATTTCGCGGAGATCCTCCGCGGCCATGCCGAGTCGATCGGCAACTTCAGCCATGATGGACTCAGCGATGAACATGCCTTGAGGCCCTCCAAAGCCACGGAATGCCGTGTTTGACATCGTGTTAGTCTTGCATAAGCGACCGCGAACGTAAACGTTCGGGAACTTGTAGCATCCATCGATATGGGTCATGCAACGCTGACAGACAGATGCGCTGACATCGCGGGAGTACCCAGCGTTAGCAAACACATCGACGTCCAGGGCTTGAAGTTTACCATCCTTATTGACCCCGACTTTCCACTTGGCAAGGAAGGGATGACGTTGTCCAGACATTGCCATATCCTCATCTCGATTAAGCATACATCGTACTGCGCGCTTGGTCTTTTGTGCCGCCAAGGCCATCATGGTGCTGAGGTGGTGGCATCTCGTTTCCTTACCGCCAAACCCTCCGCCCAGGCGCTTGACTCGTGCTACGACCTTGTTCGCCTGTACGCCGAGGATCTTTGCAGCATTCATTTGCCTACAACTCCGTTAGCTTGAAATTTTATATGATTGAGCCTGGTAAGGCCTACGTCTCAGTTGGATTTTGGCTACTGGCCCAGATCTCCATCTCACCATCTTCGGGTTTAGGAATTGCGATGCATGCGTTAGTTTCGAGATAAAAATGCTCTTGGCCGCCCATCCGCGTTACACCAGTAAATACATGGTCGCATTCTTTGAAAGCCTCCTCTGTGTCGCCTTTCTTGATGTAACCGAAGAAATTATGGTAGCTCTCTTTCTCGATTGCCTCTTCCATTGTGAAGATAGCTGGGAGGTCCTCATATTCGATTTTGACCGCGCGTACCGCATCGTTTGCCCTGGCCTTCGATGTGGCCAAGATTACGGCAATGGGCTGACCCGCGGTGAACACCTCGTCTTCGGCAAAGTAAAAATCATCAATATCCGGCGGACCCCATCTATTGGCTTGGGGCGGGTGCACATCATTTCTATCGACCACATCGACCACCCCTGGAACATCCAGAGCGGCAGAATAGTCAACAGACTTGATCTTCGCATGTGCCCGAGATGAAAACACAATAGAGGCGTGTAGTTCATTCTTTAGTGGTGGGAAGTCGTCGGTGTACTGTGCCTCGCCAGTCACTTGTTTCAAAGCGGAAAGATGATTGCCGGCTTTCCCAAGAGATTCCTGGGTATATTCGGTCGTCGCATCGTTATCTTTCCAGCCTGTTGATAGTGCCCGCTCCAGCTCTTCTACAGCTTGGCTATCTCCATGCTTACTTTCCTTGTTAATCTCCCCTAGCACGTCGTGATAATACCGGTAGAAGAAGCCCAACGCCAAAGACTTGCGGTAAGACGCCATGCCTCCAGGAACACTGAATTGGAGGTCAAAATCGGATTCGAGCGCATTCATTGTGCCCTCAAGCGTATCCGGATGCGTAAACATTTTCCCCTTCAGATACTCGTTTGCGTTTTTTGCCGCCACGGTAAATGGTGCCATGCCACCATATACCAGATTGCAGTGCTCAACTGTACCTTTCTGGTCGACACTTACATGA